ACACACACACACACACACACACACACACACACACACACACACACACACACACACACACACACACACACACACACTGTAATGATTGAATATCAGACCACAGCTTACAGCCCAGAGAATTACATCACATATAGACAGAGAGTGTGTAGAGACCTCATGGTACCCAACATACCGGGTTGACACACCCCAGGTCAAGACCCAAGGAACTTGACCTCGCCCGCTAATGACTTGAGTTAGCCGAGTGACCTACAACCATACCTAAGACACACCTGAGCATGACCACACCTGAACACAGCTGTCCAGATCTAACCAGTTTAGTGCTAAGTGGCGAAGGTCAAACACCGCTGTGCCTCCCCCATATAAAGGTCTGTAGTCCCGTCCACGAGGAATTCTGGTCATTCAGCTCATTCAGGTTATTCTTGTCATCCTGATTCTCCCGTGCGGGTCGTCAGTCTGTCTACTCGCAGAGAGTCACGCTCATCCTCCCCAGGTAGGGAGGGGGACTTCCCGACCGGACCCCAGCTAAGTAGAGTCTCCCATAGGAGGCAGCCCAGCCAAGCACCCACTGGGCCTACGTCAGGGTACACGTGAGTCTTGTCAGAACTATTCCTTGGGTGAGTTACCTACTGTGGGAAGTGTATTCATTCATGTTGTGTCCGGGAGTCAGTGTCGAGTAACGTAACATAATGTGCTAATACCCCGATATAATAATGATACTAACGTGTCCATGTCATTGAGTGAATTAATAAATAGTTGTATCGAAGTGGTGTTTGAGAAGTTGTCCCTTAAGAACGTGACGTGTGTATTGACGAATGAGATAAGTGTATTGACTCAAGAGTAAATAACATCCCGGCCACGCTACCAAGCTTGTCCTCACTTCACATTCCTTCTACTATAACTATTCTACCTATATATGTAATCCTCTTCTGGTGAGTTTTGTCTCATTACAACACACACACACACACACACACACACACACACACACACACAAAATCCATCAAGCTCTCTCTGTTTCAGCTTCATGTCAACAAACTTCGGGCGTATGATGCGACGGTCTTGTGCGCGTGAGAACTGCGGCTCCCTCCTCAACAACCTGTGTGCGGGCGCCTCTAGGACCAACCAGAAGCCAGGTGGGTGTTGAGTGTACTTTCTATACCTGTGTGTTGTGTACTTTCTACTGTATACCTGTGGTCTGTGTACTTTTTATATCTACTTGTAAGCTTTCTATATTTTCGCAATGTAGTCTCTAAATCTTCGCCCTATACTTTCTAAAACATAAACCATTAATGATACTTTCTAGAACCACATCTTCAATACTTTCTTAACCTTTATACTTTCTAAAACTACGATTAATCATGATAGTTTCTCGATCTGTATACTTTCTAAAATGTATATTTCCTAGAATTGTATACCATATACTTTTATTAAGAGAGAGTATACTTCAACATACTCTACATTTACGTATACTTTATAAGTGAGTATACTTCAACATACTCTACATTTACGTATACTTTATAAGTGAGTATACTTCAACATACTCCATAAAACATAAAATACAGAGTCCTCAATAAAGAAAAAAAAACCCTACTCAATTCCCAAAGAGGTTATATACAGGGTGATCCATAAAGTAAATAACCTTATCAAAAGTTCCTATATCCAGTTAATTATATACCGCCCAGCCTTGAGAGTGTGGCAGGGTAGTGCGTGTTCCTTCTTCATTATAGTGATGTATGTCCTCTTAGTGTAAACAGAGGGCGCAAGTTGTCCCCCTGAAACTTAGGTCGTTACTTGACACTTTGCCATCTCATTTCTGTGATGGATTACGACCTTAAATTTGATGTTGGAAGAGTGGTATATGTGTGTTTGGGGTGTGTTGGGGTGTGTTGTGGTGTGTTGTGGTGTGTTGGGGTGTGTTGGTGTGTGTTGGTGTGTTTTGGTGTGTGTTGGGGTGTGTTGTGGTGTGTTGGGGTGTGTTGTGGTGTGTTGGAGGTGTTTTGGAATGTTTGGGGTGTGTTGGGATGTGTTGGGGTGTTTTAATGTGTTTGGGGTGTGTGATGGGGTGTGTTTGGTGTGTGTTGGCCTCGTGTTGGTGGTACTGGTCTCGTGTTGGTGGTGCTGGCCTCGTGTTGGTGGTGCTGGTCTCGTGTTGGTGGTGCTGGCCTCGTGTTGGTGGTGCTGGTCTCGTGTTGGTGGTGCTGGTCTCGTGTTGGTGGTGCTGGTCTCGTGTTGGTGGTGCTGGTCTCGTGTTGGTGGTGCTGGTCTCGTGTTTAATCTGTGTGCTACTCTAGCGTCTGAAGTACAATATTCTCGTGTGTCTGTTGGTCCCCGTAGCTTAGTATCCATCATCCTTGTGTTTGACGATCATAAATTACTAGACCAATGTACCAACTTACAACTCATACGACCACATAACATAAACAATGACAACAAGGTGTTACACTGACGTCTCTGTTACCTGTACACATACTGCTTGAACTAGTGTCTTGCCTTAAGCCTGAGACTCCCTCATCCCTAACAATGAAGAAGCGATACTACATAAACCTTCACACATACTTTCATACATATTAATAACAATGTATCATCGTCCTTGTTGTGATACATTGCGTTATTAATAGTGTGTGTGTGTGTGTGTGTGTGTGTGTGTGTGTGTGTGTGTATGTGTGTGTGTATTAGGGGTATCTTTTGAGGTGATGGCGATTGTTAGTGCCGTTATAGTAGTATGGAGATTATCATATACACCATACAATATATAAGCTATAATCATACACTATACACCATACGCGATATATTACACATCATATCATACCACAAATCATACACAATACACCACATAACAGATACCACTGACCATACACCACACCACACCACACCATACACCACACCTCACTCACTGCTCACACACTACGGTTTACTAACAATGTAGCACTAAGGAAGACGACACATCATTAACTCATTTACACACTAGACACTTTGTCATTGGTAATATATATCTATCTATCTGTCGTTCATTATACCGGTGTAGTAACCTTGTGTGCAGCTACTGAGATGGTCAAGTGGTGAGAGGAGGTGAAAGGGAGGCGATGAGAAAATGTTATAATGATCGGTAATGAAGGAAGAGATCAAGAGAGAGAGAATTAGCAAGGGAGAATTATATTGAGGTATGACGAGGGTGGTGTAGTATGGGTGAATGTAAATACTGGTTACCTGGTTAAGTAAATGAGGGAGAGAGAGAGACTGAACTGAGGGTGAAGGAGGTTACAGACTGATAAATAATCTTTGGGATAGTTGGTGGAAGTAAAAGGAGAATGAAATAACTCACGATGTAAAAAAAAAAATCGTTAAGAAATGTCGAGGAGCGAGACTGGTGGTCATTGTGTTAAGAGAGAAATGTAGCTGACGCGGAGCAAACTTACCAGAGTAAACAGCTTAGACTTAAACAAAATCTCACTAAAGTTAACGAATCAGTATACAAGTACGTAGACCTCAGTCAAAGGCAGTTCCAATAAACACCTCACATATTGTCGACTGATGTTGGTTTATTGACAACAGAAGACGAATCTGATCGTTGGATTTATAGAAGATGACAGAAACTCCCGATAAGGACAAACAGTCAACTGGTAGGAGAATAAATAATAATCACAGAGACTGAAAAGGTCCACAGAGAGCTGTTGCTCCCTGGGTGGGTGGAATTCAATTTTGTCGGGTAAACAATGCAGAAGATGGCTTGAGGAGAGAGGAGAGGAAGACGAAAGGAAGTTCAGGCCTTCCCGTCTCTCCTTGAAACCAAAGCAAATCATTCCAGCTACCATAATACCGTGAAGATAAGACAACAATTCAAGGAAAACTCGAGGCTTTCCTGGATAAAAAAATCCTTCTTATAATTCATCCAATATCAGAATACAATACAATTTAAAGAAAAGTCGAGGTTTTCTTCGGGGATTTTTTTTCATAGAGGTTCTCGAGGACCATAAACAACCTAAGACCCAGGAAAGTCGAGACTCTCCTGGGGAAAATAATGTTGTTGATAGTGTCTAAAACTTTTAACACAATAATTCACGGAACACTTTTGTAAAGAGAGAAGTGTCGCCTATAATGGGGGGAATATTATGAGAGGAAACAATTAAACTTATGAAAGCTGTTGGAAATGGAGATCATTTTCTGGAGCCTCTGATCATTAGTACGTTATAAAAGTATTGGTAGTTGTAGTAGTAGTAGTAGCAATAGTTAGAGTGCTTATAGTAGTAATAGGGAGTCGGAAATAAGTACTATTAGCCTCAGCACTTGTAGTAACACAGTTGTTTGAGGTGCTAGAGGCAGCAGCTCCAGTGCTGATGACAACAACAACAGCAGCAGCAGCTTAACACACGGATCTGTTTTCTTCTCGTAATTCAACTAATTTTCCTTCTCTTCTTTCCTTTAAAATGACTTGGCCGTTTTTAACATCGTCAGGATAGTTCTGGGTAATCTCCGCTTCCCCACACGAGGTAAAATACCCGCAATATCCGCAGCCATTTGGGCTCTAATAGCCATTTTTTCGGGTGAATAATCTCGGCTGTTGCTCTGATCCCTCACTTCGCTAAGTTCCTTCTTGGAATTCCAATTTTCTTTTCTTTTCCCCAGCGAGGCACTTGGAGCCTCGCCTGGTTCGCTCACCATCTTGCCCTTAACTGCAGCTGAGAAATCCCTTGAATGTGTTTAATTTCATCCTATAAGAGTGTGCCCTCGGAAGGTCAGGGTGAAAATGATCTTTTTCGGCTGCTGTTGAGCCTTTAATGTCAGTCACTTGGATGTTCCACCAAGTTGACTCTACTATGATATTAACCTTGAGTGTTATGGTCGCCGGCACGGTATTTACTGACTATTTTCTCATTTTTCTTATCATTTACTTTCATGGTAATAATTCTCATACATGATAAATTTACCGTTTCTCTAATATGTTCCTTAATGTTAAAAGGTTAATCATCAACTTTGTGCTTAGTTTAATTTATCTTATATAACTGTTTACTGACTGACTGTTGCATCTCGCCCACAGAGAACGATGTTGACAACCCTCCCGGAGTACCTCTCGCAGCCCCCTCAACCCCGCCCACCATACCCTCTGGCCCCATATACCTAGAAAACGGTAAGTCAAACACCTGATACATAAATGACCTTCCCGAAGCACAGGTCTGCATTATGACGCTAAATCTATTAGAAAGTTCATTGTACTTTGTTCTCCGTAATGGGATGAAGGCTGGAATGCCGCCAAACCTCGCAGAGTTAAAAATCCCGTGAGAAGCTGAGGGATTATGTAGCAATTCCATCCAGTGTTATAACCACAGACCAAATTCCTGGACAAGGGAGTAGTCGAGCGGTTTAGCGTCTCAGAGTCTAGCGGTTTATGGGTTTAGCGGTTTATGGGTCTAGCGGTTTATGGGTCTAGCGGCTTATGGGTCTAGCAGTTTACGGGTATAGCAGTTTACGTGTCCAGCGTTTTACGTGTCTAGCGTTTTACGTGTCTAGCAGTTTACGTGTCTAGCGTTTTACCTGTCTAGCGTTTTATGGGTCATGCTGTTCATGAGACTAGCGACCTCACAGTTGGGTTCGACACACAGAGAGGGGGAACAGTACATAAAAAAGACCCTCGCTACATATTTCTCATATTTGATTTTGACAGCATAACATTAGCGTGGTACTCGGCCAGACTCAAGTATGGAGTCTTTCCCTGAGGCAGTGATCGGGCTTAAACTATCAGCTAACATAATCTAGATTTATGTGTCAGCTAAAATCAATATAGCTTTAAGACAGTCATGTTAGTTTAGCTTTAGCTCACCTGTGTACAGCTAAAATCATTGTGAATTTTCTCTCGTGCTTCTGTAGGTTTCGACCTGGCGAATACCTCCTACTTGGACCTCAATGGCCACACCTCAAGTGTCGCCACCAACCTTAGGACGAACCTCGAGGACAACCAGGACTCTAGAATGTAACGTTGAGGTCCTACTACTCTAACGTCTTCAAGTAGGAGAGAAACGGGTGCTAAGAAGTCAAAGGTTCCTGCTTGAAGTCTTCGGAAGTTTCATACTCAAGTCGTACTCCAGGCTTACAAGTAGGAGACTACCAGGTTTCCGACCCCGAAGAGTCGTATTTGAGCTCTCCAAGTCGTGTTTCAACTCCGAGTCTAATATACAACCAACACCCAATAAAATCCTACCTGAAGTACGAGGAGGATCAGGATCTAATAGCCGAAAGTCCTGAATTTCAGAGGATAAAAGTCCAAAGGGAAGGGAGAGGAAAATCAACCAATAAATGAGGGAAGAGAAGAAAATCGATGATAATAAAGAGAAATATCACCTCCTGGGCATCCCTTCCCCTCAAACACCCAACAATCAGATACATTCTACCGTGTTCCTCTAACTCTCACAGAACACGGACAGAACTGAACACATATCCCCGAGCTGTTATTATATGTTCTACCAATTATAGAACAAAATAAAAATAGAAATAAAATATAATCTCCTCTGTTATTAGACGATAACTTAACATAAAGAAGAAGAGAGATAATATTATTTACTTTTCATCTGTTCTCTCATTTATAGAATAACAAATGGAAAGAACAGTTGTTATTTGTGTTCCTGTACTTATAACAGATATAAGTAGTATAAGTAATATTCTACATCATTAGTTCCTGTGTGTTTCTCCATTGAATAAGTAGTTTATAAGTAGATGGTTCAGTTGCTGTTAAGTGTTATCATCCACCTATAAAGGATTGTATCAGTTTTACTACCTATAAATGTACCTGCTCCAATGTTAGGGGATAAGTGAAAGATATTACGGATATTACTCTCACTTACACCTATTTTAAGGACGATGGTTTAAAGACTTCAGGACCACACCTTATATTACCTACCATTAAAGGGTTATAATTGGGACCATCGTCTTTAAAAATGGGTTAAAGAAGTAGAATATTAGCTAAGGGTATTTTGGAATTGTTAATACGTCACTTGAGTATTAGAATTACCCCACCTAATTGAAACTCAAATACTCCAAATAAGTGAGAATTTAGAAATATTGCCCAAATAAAATAAGTTTGAGAAATATTATTTAAGTGTTAGAGTTGGCAATATTGTGTACTAAGAGAGGATATTTCGCACTGGTGGTGAGAATAACCTAAACAAGAATAATAATAGTAAAATAATATAAAAACAAATATAATGGTAATATTAAAGTAACATTTGAATTAATTTAACAAAACTATTAATAATTTCTAAACTATTTACAAGGTATTTTCTCAGTTAGTTGTATACTGTGTGTGTGTGTGTGTGTGTGTGTGTGTGTGTGTGTGTGTGTGTGTGTGTGTGTGTGTACCTGACTCGACATTCCGTTTCTCTTTCAGATTAATTGGAAACGGCTTTAACCTTGCATATAATTTAACTAATTCGATTATTCAGATAGTCCTTTGGGTATGATGGTTTAACCCCTTGAGTATGATGGTTTAACCCCTTGAGTATGATGGTTTAACCCTTTGAGTATGATGGTTTAACCCTTTGAGTATGATGGTTTAATCCCTTGAGTATGATGGTTTAATCCCTTGAGTATGATGGTTTAACCCTTTGAGTATGTTGGTTTAACCCTTTGAGTATGATGGTTTAACCCTTTGAGTATGATGGTTTAATCCCTTGAGTATGATGGTTTAACCCTTTGAGTATGTTGGTTTAACCCTTTGAGTATGATGGTTTAACCCTTTGAGTATGATGGTTTAATCCCTTGAGTATGATGGTTTAATCCCTTGAGTATGATGCTTTATACCTTGAGGGGTTAAATCTTTACCTTTTATGGAGTCTTCCAATTCTTTTTCTTCGCTATTTCCTTCTTCTCCTCTGTTTCTTCTTCTCTTCCTCCTTCCTCTCTTCCTCCTTCCTCCTGTTAATTAGAATTATTGATGTTATTTCTCATTATATAAAGTTAACATTAGGAAACATAAATGAGAGATGTTTATACAGTTATGAATCCTTGTGAAATAAATCGATCAGTTATGAATCATTTGTGAAAAATATTGATCAGTTATGAATCATTTGTGAGTAATATTGATCAATTATGAATCATTTGTGAAATAAATTGATCAGTTATGAATCATTTCGTTCATTTCGAGATTATGTGAACAAATTATATAGGCTCACCGATTCTCACCCAAGTAAATAATAATGAAGTTTGAGGTTTCTTATTATTTTGATGTGTTCATGGATAGAGGGATATGTTATAGAAGAGTTTGTGTTAGCTTTCTCTGTGTTTATATATTGGTATAGTGAGTTATAAATAGTTTAAATATATAGGATCTGATTTTTGAAGTTGCTTAGTTAATTTTTGTGTGTTTTGTATTGATAATGTGATTGTGTGTGTGTGTGTATTAGGGAGGGTGTTGTGTCTGTGTTAGTGTATATGTGTGTATGTATATATTGATGTATATATGTGTATGTATATGTGTACCTGAAATATAATTAGTATACAACATAATTAGTGTTACAAGTTTTTTAAACAAACACGCTCACCTGTAAACACACACACACACACACACTATGAGCAACAGTTTGTGTGACATTCTGTCTTTAGTAGTTAGTAAATACAGGTATATTCATGTTATGTTTAATCCAAGTGTAAAAAAAAAATATATATAGATATTTATATAATTATGTACAGAAATTGTGAGGAGATATTTTCACTGGTAGAGAAAAAAGAAAATATATATAAAAGAAAATAAATATATTCTATTATTAAGTATAAATCTCAATATAATCTCATATAATATTAATTAATTAACAGTGTTTGATTGTAAGGATTAGAAATGGATTATAAGAGATTGGAGATTAGCCAATAAATAAAAAAAACAAAAAAACATGAGTTATTTTTGAAGATTGTGTATAGAGTTGTGCCAATCAGCCAATCAGGTACCCAAAAGGACTTATTTGTTTAGGTTAGTGGGATTGCCTGTTTAATCTTTGGGAATTTGATGTTTGTAATTTGATGTTTGTGTCTTGTTTGTTTGTTTGTTTGTTTGTTTGTTTGTTGGGAGATAAAGAATAATAGTAGGTGTATTTATTTGTTGTTGCAGGTGATGAGGCAAGCTATTTATTATCATCATCATCATCATCATCATCATCATTATTACTATCATTATCATAATTTTCATTATTATTACCACTATTATCATTACCATCATTATTGCTGCACCGTCATTGCTATCATCATCGTCATCCTTCAATACCAACATTATAATCATCACCATCATCACTATATATCATTACTGTAGCCTGTACTGAGTGTGTGTTGGGTGGCTGTGACATATACTGTACTCTATGTAAACAATAAATATACTGAAGCTCTTAACTGTTTACATGCTCCTGGGTCTGTCTCCCACTGTGTACATTAACGATCACCAAAATTGAAAAAAAAAAACGTACACAGAGAGACATATACACAGACCAATGTATGTATTCACACAGACACCAACACATACAGCCATCATCATCACACATACACACGCGCACGCACACACGCGTATAAGCACGCACGCACGCACGCACGCACGCACGCACGAACCGTGCATGTCATAGAACCTAGTAAAAAATATATGTTTTTTTAGTGCACAAAAGCGTAAATTTATTCAACCATTTTATATTTATATGAGTTGTATAAACATTATAATTTTGAACACTTTCGGTCGACATATTTGTCTTTCTCTCTTTGTTTAACTAATAATAATAATAATTGTGTGTGTGTGAGGGGGGAGGCTTTTCTCCACTGGGGGGTGTAATGCGTCTAATGTGGCATCATTATATAAGTGTTGAGATGCAGGCACTGCTTACTTCCTCTCGTTCTCAGCCATCTCAGTTGGCTAGCCCTCGCGGGTGAACTGGGAAGCAACCTTGCGTAAGTCTTCCCCTGCCAGTCCACAGCCTCTTCACCATCAAGGCTCCTCGTGGCTAGACCAGTAGGGGATCTAGGAGCAGCAGTGGGCCCAAGAGGGACGGCGCATAGACCCATTGGAATGTGGACACGTCCTGGAGCCTACCAACCACTGCCCCGCTGCCTTGCGGTTTAACCTTGGCAGGTATAAGGCTACGGGAGTAAACCCCGAACGAAAAATCTGCGGTGGAGCCCCGCATTAGGCAGACATGCTTACAGAGCTCCAACAAGACCCCAACGGCGGTGTAGGCGGAAGAGGTGACCACCATGGAAACCCAACGACTGCACCGGCGGACGAAGGCAATGCCTAATGGACAGGCAACTAATGCGAAACCCAACAAACTGGGCTATCGGCAGTACATTGCAACTCTCCCTCTCTCCAGTCGTTGCAACACTTGCCCCACTGGATCAGGATCAGGGAGAGCCAAGATGTGTGGTTGCAGCCTCGCTCGCGCCTCACCACATAAATGAAGTCACGTGCAGCCACCTTTTTGCACATCATTCCCATTCTATTCCTACTCCATCCTTCTTCTATCTTATTCTCATTCCACCCATAATCCTCCCTCTTCCACATCTTCCCCATTCCATCCCTACTCCACCATTTACCATATCATCTCCATTACACCCCTACTCTTCCCTCTTTCACATCTCCAATCCACCCCTTAATCCATCCTTTTCCAGATATTCTCTATTTCATCCCTACTTCACTCTCTTCCACTACTCCATTCCATCCCAACTCCACCCTCTTACACATCTTCTCCAATCCACCCCTTAATCCACCCTCTTCCACTTCTCCATTCCATCTATACTCCACTTCTCTTCCAAAGAAACCCACAAAGACGTCAGCGAGGCACACAAACACCACTCCAGTACATCTCCTACAGGATTCGAACCCTTATCTCGGGGGGTCAAATCCATCTTGTACTCTTCAACTCGACTTCGGTTATAAACACTACAAACAGACGCCATTCATTCATCTATCTCATCGAGGAGAGTAGGGCACCACTAGACAGAGCGCCATAAAGAAGGGAGAGAAAAATCTAATGGTTATGTTTATTAGACACCATTAAGAGGAGGAAATGTATGATGGTGTTTGTCCCTGAAGCTCTTGACTATTCTTCCCGACATTAAGAAGAGAGAGAGACAGAGAGAGGTACTTCTCTTCCTTAGACAGAAAGACAGACAGACTGACAGAAACCCTTATCTTGTGTTACAGATAAGGGGAAGTCTTCAGACAACCAGACGGGGGTGAACAGATACCAACGTATAAGCAAGGTGTTAGGTCTGAGGGTTGAAGACTACGATTCCTCCACTAGACGTTTTTAGGGCGGTGTTTGCCAATTCTGCCAGATGTTGAATTTCCCCGGGGACCACAACTGTTAAACTCATTCCTCCATTCCAGGTTGTTTTCCCCTGGCTCTCCTACCCTCACTTTTACCCATTAAGATCAATAACGATCAACAATAAATCCTTAACATACGTCTACCTTACGTAATGACTTTAATATTTCCATCTAACTCATCAAGGTAATCTCTCACCTGTAATAATGGTGAGGAAAAACAAGTGAGATAAGACCAACAAATTATACTTGCGAACCTTTGAGAATCATGTCTCCGTGTCCCATCCTGTTCCACACGTCTTGATTCTTGAGTCAATCAGGAAGTCGAACCCGAGTCCTCCGTCATCCACAGCGGGTACCCGATGGCTCCGTCATTCACAGCGGGTACCCAAGGTCTCCGTCATCCACCGCAAGAGCCGTGGCGCTGCTGAAATGTATATTCGTCAGGATCAACTCACATATAAACTATTTATATTATACCAACGGTCTTAGGGCAAATTTGAACCTCCCAATTACCTATTACCTTATGAAAACTATACAAATAGCCTAGTTTCTTAGCTTAGAAGTTAATACAAATTACCTCTAGTCTGATAATCAACACAATCACGATCAATCATCTCACCACCATAAGCACAATCACTTCTCTATCACCACACTCACAATCATTTTCCGCCACCCCACTCACTTTCCTAACACAATGACTTCCTCGCCACCACTACCACAATCACTTCCCCACCACCACCACTACCACAATCAATTCCCCACCACCACACAATCGCGTGAACTTACCTGCAATAAACGTCAGAAACTCAGCAGGCCTTGGAGTGAGGAGGACTAGTCTGGAGTGTGGTCAAGATAGTTGTGTTATGCGCTGGACAAACCACTCAAGTCATACCTACACATCGCTTTCATTCTCAAGTTTACTGAAGCTTCGAGGCATCTAACTCACTCACTTACAATACACTGAAGCACCACTATTTGAAACATTATTCGTAAGGGTCGACCATTTATCTCAGAGAAGAAATATTACGACTTGTGGATCACCAACAAGGCAATAACATTTACTGCAGATAAATATACATGGGGTTTTGCTCAATTCTTGGCTCTGGAAATAGTTGAGCCTTGGTATTTGGATCGTCTGTAGAGGTGTTGGTTTATGTACTGAACTTTGTGTTTGTCTGTAATGATATTTACCAGTAATACCTACATTAATTCCTTACTTAAT